CCGTACAGCTGTTTAGATGCACAAGATACCCCCGGTGCTGCCATGCCGGCATCTCGGCTGACGAATGATGCTGGCAGCGCTCCGTGGCGTGGCCGAGAGTTGCACAGCCTCGCCCGCGCCCTGCCATGGGCCGCTGCTTTGGCAACGCTGTCCTTCCTCCCGTCCTCCCAGCGTCGAGTCTCGGCTGGGAGCAGGCTTACTGGGAGAGTGGAGTCCTGACAGTCTGGGGTCTGCTGTGTGTACAGAGCCAGGGTTTCTCCCTGTCCCAGCCCTTTTTCTGTGGGAATGAATTGTGGGGGAGGGTGGGAAGGGAAGGGAGGGCACTTGGCACCGCATGAGGGGATCGGGTCAAGTCTTCCCTTCTGCACGTTCCCCAGAGTTCAGCGCTCTGTTTGCCTCTTCCCCCAGCTCACACCCGATCCAAATCCCACCTGCACCATCTGAAGAAGAGGAGGAAGCTGGAGGCTGCCAGCCATGCTGCAGAGACTGGGGGGGCCAGTGGGGACACGCAGACCTCGGGCGAGGACAGCAGCTTGCCTGTGCCATAGACCTGCGGACCAGCTGGCGAAGCGGAGCTAACACCTGTACGGCGAGGAAGCGACTCAGTCCGGGGTGGCCTTGATCCAAAGGAGCTGACTCATTTTTTTCGGGATGAGGCAGGTGTTGAAGTGACGGCCAAAGGCCGTCGGCTGCGTCAGATCCTCTTCATGTGGCCTCATCGCGCGGTGTTCCCATGCTTCCCAGCCCTGCTGGGAAAGGGCTGGGCCCCGGGGCAAGGCTGCTGGGAGCATCCTCCCGTGCCAAGCGTTCATTCCTGCCAGAGACGCGGCATTATCCTTGGAGTGGTGGAGCCGATGCTGCTGGCGTGCGAACGTCTCCTTCTCAGAGACAGAAACACCCTGCACTCCTCCAGCTTGGCCAGGAGTGCAGCTCCGGAGCTGAGTGAGCTCTCGCTGCCTTTATTGTGGAGAGGATATTTTTTTTTCCTTTTATATGGAAATAAAATTGCAAAGATGATTGTGGGTTCCCCTCCCTATTAACAAGTGCAGTTTTCTTGCTCTCTCTTCCCACCTGGCCTAGCTTCCCAGCTGCGGGCACAGGGCAGGACGTCCAACCCTGGTTCCTTCTTCCAGGCACCTTTCCCGCAGCTTCTGAGGGAGCAGAGCAGATGTTCCCAGCTTGGTGGAGGCCGGCCGAGCCCTGTGCCCGTAGCAGGTGCAGAAGGAGCTGGCACCTGTTAAACAGGAACTTGGAAATGATCTCACCGAGTCTGCAGCAGATGAGTCTGTCCTAGTCAGAGCTGAGCTCCCGGGGGTTTACACTGTGGTTTGGCAGTGGGAACGGGCCCCGCATTTGAATCCGAGTTGCTGAGCAGCAAATTCCTCGGGCCGCGTCCGTGAGGCAGTCGGTCTCCACAGCGTCGTTCCTGGAGGATGTGAGTGCCGGCCGCTTGCCGGCGTGCCGTGCTGGGTGAAACCAGGACGTCCTTTTCCAGGGCATTTGGGATTCTCCTGGCGAATGCCATCACGACGGTCCCTCCTGGGAGGGCTTTAGGGTGGTGGAGCACAGCTTTCTCCTTCAGCTGCTTGCCATACGCCGTGTGGCAAGTGCCATCTCTCGGGGCTCAGCCTGCGCGGGGAAGGGCTGTGTGGGCAGGTCTGCCATTGCGGGCTCTGGAGATGCCTGCTCTGGTGGGGGTTAGCTTAAACCTCCGGTTTGTGCTCCTCAGCGTGGAGTTATGTCTGTGATGCTCCGTGGGGTGGCTGCCTCGGGCCGCTGATAGGGGTGTGGGGTGGCTTGGGGGCTCGGGCTGAAGGGAATGTGCAAGGATGAGCTGGGAACTGGGGCTGTCTTCTCTGTGAGCGCTGGGCAGAGCTGGGCATCAGCTTTGAAATGCTGGGCACCGCGTTTGTGTGGCCGGCTCTGTCTGCAGCTCCAGCTGAACCTCTCCTCAAGCCTGGACTTGTTTGCCATCTGCACTGAGTCAAGTGTGCGTGGATGCGGGCTGGAGCACGCGGCCGGGGGCCGTGGTGTGGAGCCGTGTTCTCCTGGCCTGGGTGGACGAGGTGCAGGTGAGGCTGGGTGTGAAGCCCCATTTGCTGCCGGTGTGCTGAGCGTGGGCATCTGATGGACGGAGTGGGCATGTGGAGCCATCTCCCCAGGCCAGGCCGGGATCATCGGGACAGCTCTGCGAGTGAGGGGTGGGATTGTCTGCTCTGTCTCCTGAGCGCAGTCAGATGACCATGCTGTTGGAAACGGATTTAATATCCTCCATCAGTTCAATATGAACTTTGTTATCCCCACAGATAAATGTTCCTCTACCACAATAGCTGCTACTCTGCCCGTTCTGTTCCAGAGCCCGCTCCTAATGGCCGCTATCAGGGAGGGTCTCCCAGCCCTTCCCCTGCTCTGTGCCGCCCGCCGCAGTGCCTTGTTCTGGGGTAGCAGCTCCCGGGTGTCCCAGAACACGGGTCTGTCACCTTGGCTTGTTCGTGCTGTGGCTGGACCAGTAACAGAAGGTGGGAGCACACCCTGATCCTGCCAGCACCGAGACGCAGGCGAGTTGTCTTTCTCGGAGAGGTAGGGGCTGTCGATGAGGACATGGGTTTTTATTTATGCAGAGCCAGGGCCAGCGTCGTGGCGAGGATTCGCCTTCCAGGGAAGAAGCTGGTGTCTGTCATTCCGCTGTCGTTCAGAGGACTCAAGGCAGGGGCTGGGGTCGAGCTCCTGGCACGGGTCACACCAGTTCCTGGCGCCGGCACCTTGTCCGGCTGCTGTCCCCGGCCTCCTGCAGAAGGGACAAAGGACGCGACGTCGCTCTCCCGTCCCAGCCAGGACTCCCGAGAAAGTTGTTGTGCTCTCAGGTTTCAGGCTGCCGGAGCCGCCGAGCCCATCACACCAGCCACTTAATCTAAATGGCTTTGGCCAAAGATAAGGTCATTAATTACACTGGGATTAGCAAACAGCGCAGGCCTGGCGTGGTTTGGCTCGCCAGCAACTGAAGTCGTCGGTGCCCTGGCCTGGCTGAGCATCACTGGGAGAGACCCATGCCCTCACTGATGGGCCACTGTCCCCCGGTGCTGCCTGCCCTTGGAGGAGTCCCCTCGCCTGGACGCTGGCATTAGGCATGGTGCTGGGCTGGGCTCCTGTCCCCTGCCAGCGGCGGGGCTGGGTGCCAGCAGAGTTGGTGATACAGGTCCCGGGGGACATCCCTGGGGGAGGTACGGGCGCCG